CTAATCGAACTTTGTTTATGTGTGCCAAATAAAGTATGTTGCTTCTCTGATTTAATGGGCACATGAGTTTTGAACAACAGTTTTGTTATTAAATTTTTGGTTTCATTTCCAACTTTCGACATTTGAAATAGTATTTATCGAGAATATCGATTTGAGGTTGTAATTGATCAACATTTGAATGCATGAGGAAAAAAATGACTGTGAACCCTCACTCATAAGTATATACAATCCGACAGTGCACATTGGGGTGTTTTCGGAATCGTTTAATCAAAAAATGGTATGCCTCATTCGATAGATCTCAAAATTCAGAGTCGATTGATAATATTTTTGTCGCGGATGGACTTGTGATGACACTTCCCGAAGCTGATAACAAAAACAGTTTTATTCTGAATTTCCATAGTAACCTGTGACAACCAGATTTGATTTGAAATTTGAAAGCAAAAATTTGACAAGAAAACATAAAATTGAATCTAGTTGTCACACGTTACTATAGAAATTCAGAATAAAACATTTTTTGTTTTTAGTTTCGGGAAGTGTCACCACAAGTCCATCCGCAACAAAAATGTTATCAATCGACTCAGAATTCTGAGATCTATCGAATGAGACTTACCATTTTTCGATTGAACGATTCCGAAAATACCCTAGTGCACATACATCGAATGTAATTCATTTAATTCGATGCTTATGCGGAAAACCGTTGTCATTTGATCCAGTTGTGAAACAAGTTAATTGAATCAGATATGAAGCAGCTATGACTGCAGTAGCGATACATATATAGTGATACATATGCAGTACTTGTAGAAAATGACAATTAAGTGATTGTGGTACATTATGACTGCGTTTAAAAGCATATATGTGTATGTAAATGACCGAATAAAAAAGGAAACAAACAATTCAAACGGGTAACGACAAGATCAACAATGTACGAGCGTTAAGAATACATTATTCGTTACATACCGATCACAAACGAAGCGTAGAGAATGAATGACAAATTGAAGCGAAATGTACGCAAAAGAGAAAATTAAATCGGTTGTACGCGAAAGAGACATTTCATACTGTTGCCTTTCGATTTTTTTAGTCATGATTACAATTTTTATTTTCTTCTGCGTGCAACGTTTTCATGTTTTTGTTTTGTGCACACTTCCATGCTATACATCTATCATTCTATGCGATTCAAATTAATTTCATCCGCATTCAACACGGCGTCTAGACCGTCTTGATTACCTTCATGTGCTTGCGCGGGTTTATTATCACATATTAATCATAGACAGTATAATAGGCTGTACACGTAGAGAAATTGTACGTAAGAGTGAACGAGACAGCTTGATTTTTCGGCATTTGGTGAATTGATGGCTCAGTCGGAAGTTATCGATTTTTTTTTGTATACGGGATCTGGGAGTGAACTCAGTACTTATAAGATTAATGTTTTGAATTATTTACAACGATTCACAAACAAAGTGTGATTAATTAAAAAAAGTATATGCGACAATTTACTAATGCAAAATTAATATAGATAATATATATTATCTGCTGCTGTATCGTATGTTTCAAACAAATATGCAGATCATTTGAACTGTCCATAATTTACTATATGATGCAACACAACAAAAGAGTCATTGGCAATGCTAACAAAGTTAGTAACTGGTTATTCTGAGTGCATTTACCGGTATTGAAATCAGAGATGACTTTAGCGCACCCGAGTATTTGTGTTGTTGTTTTTTTGTTTTTTCTTCGTTATATTTTACCATTCTGGTCAAAAAAACTTTGTATCAATATTTTGTGTAACATAACAAAGAACAGTTTTTGAAAAACCACATTTATATTAGTAAAATATGAAGAAAAAATCCCCAAAAGTAGAAATTGCGTAATATTGCGAAATTGAGCCAATGCGCGTAATTACTAGGTGCATTTGACCACACAATGCGAATACCGGGGGCAGAAAATGTAAGCTCTTCTTCGTTATGTTAGACAAAATATTATTTAAAAAAAATCCTGGTCAAAAAGCTAAAGTAGAACGAAAAAACAACAAAAATACTGGGGTGCGCTGTAGCGCACTTGAGTGCACTAAAGTCATCTCTAATTGAAATGAATCGCATATTTGGATTGAGTGAGAAATCGGATTCATCGTCACATTCGTCACTGCGTAATCATTTAGCCAAATTTATACGATTACGTAAGGTTTGTTTGTTACACCGTTCCTAATGAGCACCGAAATTAATAAGTTCACACAAACGATGTGGTTCATTATATTTTTTCATCGTAAAAATTGACATAATGCGAACAAATTTTAAACACACTAGAAGTGATATGGTACAACCAAACAGTGCTGGTTCGTTACTTTGATCATACATATATTCTGCCATATCGCATAATATGTGAACACAGAAGAAAACTGAATGAGATAAATACATAATCACACTGGAGAAGATAGAAAACTATTTTGGGAATTTAAAACCGAATACGCGCAGTATTATAACAGAATTTCTCTTTTTATTATTCATACCAAAAATCGCCAATAGTCTAAAAACGCACACAGTAGCTTCAGACCGCGTAATACCAAACACATCCATTAGTTTGCAGCTTTGAAATTATTGAAGAATGTATGGAGAATGTATAGCGCAAAATATTGCGAGCGAGCTTCGGTTCATACTATTCACATCGACATATACATACGAAATGGTATGACCATTTAACGGTTTAATAAAAACCATGAACGTAGAAAATTAAAGGAGAATCTCAAGAATTATGGTACATTTCGTAGACGCTTGGAGACAAAATCCAATACTAAGTACAATGTTAAACTCAATAAGTATTGGATCATATCCTCCGTCGATTTAGAGATTTCGGGTGGGGTTTTCTAAAGTTGAATAATGTGAGAAACTTGACGAATCTGTAATTGAGACATCAGCTCAGATATTCCGTTCGTTTGCTTTCGATTTCGCTAAAGCCAATATTACAATCGCATACACTGTATACAAGCAATACACTCTCATATACACTCACACATACGCTCATTTATTGATAAGCTCGTATTGTGCACCGAGATAACGTTATGTATGCAATTTACTGCAATTTTTCTAAAGTGTGTTTCTGTGCTGCGAGCAACGAATGGTCGATTTCTGACAAATTGGTCAGTACAGTGTACGTGCTCAGCTCCATTGAGTACGGCTATGTTACTTTTGTGCATTTAGCGCGGATAAAGAAAACAAATACGAACAAACTGGTAGTGTTTTTGTTTGAGTTTCAAGTTCAAGTATATCATTGATGTTCAGTGCATAATGATTAAGCAATTTCGTTCATTCGTATCGTTCACTTTTTTCGTTTGTGTCTTAGCAGCCTTCATTGCTGATTGTTATCGTTCTTCGATTTGTTTTGCAGACCAAATTATTTTCATGTTACCACTTTTGAAAAAAATTCGCTTTCAATGGTTTGAATATATTTTCCTCGATGTACAAAACAATCTTCTTAGGTGAAGATTGTGTGATAATGTATTCATTCGATCTACCCGGAAGAACATCAAATGTAAGCCCAAGATTCATCAACAAAATCCTCACGAATCCTAAATAGCTCTGGTCGTCACAATCATTTTACTAGGATTTCTGTCATAATACCCCTTCTATTGAATCAGTTTTCTCTTTTATTGCAAAATTGACTTTAGCCCAAATCACATGTTTTTCTACAAACTAACGAGATGCATTCCGCAATTCTTTCTCTAAATGAAAATAAATATTAAATTTCTAGCATTTTTCAATGCACAACAGTCTTTTGAGTCATCTTATTCAATCGTTTAAATAAATTACGATCCACATGCAAACGGCACTGTGGAACAAATTATTAGTTTCCGAGCTGGGACAGTTTAATTGTAGTCAGTTGTATCGACGGCGCGATGGCAAAGAGAAATGAGCAGCTAAAGTAGAAGTAAACAAAATAATGCTGAGAAGAAGTGCAACGAAGCGCACACTCGAGAAACCTCGATTACATCAACACGCGCTCTGATTCTATTTTTATAGAATGAATTTAATGAACAAAAAAAAACGAGGCTATTGCACACTATTTACTCAATTGCACATATATTGAATTCGTGTCTTTCTTATTTACTTTAATTGCAATTGCTGTGTTCGAGCGACGCATCAGACAATATGCAGATGTATACAGTTGCGCATATAATCGAAAACCAAGACATTGGCAAGGAAATAATAACGAGAATATCACACTCATGCACTCGTACGATAATGTTTTAGCAGAAAAAAAATGAAGAGAACTGAAGCATTCGAGGCAAAATCCATGGCTATTTTTATTCAATCACTATGAGCAGGGATTCAATCGATTTCTCAATATTGTGAACTTTTGTTCTGTTTTGAAACAAAATATTATAAAATTCTTATAAGGTGATAACGCATATCGGAATAGAGTAAATGACATCGTACTGAGGCTAAAGCCAATTTTTTTTCTTCGTGTCTCTGTTACGAATCAACTGTGTTAATATTCAATAAATTGTGTAATCATTGATTCCGGAGAAAAAGTTCATGCTCCTGACAATTTGCACATGGAAGCTCTGAGTAAAATTACGACTAATCGCAAGTGACTCACTACTTAGAGTGTGCGGCAATGCGGCCAATGAATGGAGACATCAGAACTGCGACGAAATTCACGTGCCGCTAACTATATGAAATACCACTGTCTCGCACCACTACCATCGACGATACAATTACGACTTGAACATTTATACGTCAAGATCAAAACAAAACCAATGGCAAAATAAAATGAAATGATTTAACCGATTTCTAAACTGGGAATTGTACCTGCTCCTATGTCGCATCCCAGTTTCATGACGTGTAGCGAAATATTATCGGGTAAACAAATTGAATTTTATTACGCAATTCGATAATGCTGTTTCGTCAACAAATTATCACTCAAAAAAGTAAATAACGTAAATGAAACCAACACCAATGAAAGCGGAACGAGTGTGTGACAAGTAACGTTCAGAGTCAAATACTTACAAATTGTATCTTGTCGGTTGAATTCCGATGAATCCAGACTCGGTTTAGCTAGGTGTTGTACGGGCTTCAGATCCTTCTATCTTTGTTGCGTCTTATTCATTGATGATTGTTTCACATATGTATGTAAATCGAATAACGGCGTACGACTGTTATAGTCACAAACACACAACACAACTTCTATAACAAAAGCGAATCCTTGTCCGTTTTGAAACGTATAAGCTTTACAAATTGTTCACGTAATTATTCTCGTTGCTTTGTGTAAAAAAATATCCTTTGTCAACTAAGTGCACTGTTCATGAACAAAAATTTATAAAACATAAATAAAAAGCGTCAGCATCAATAATAATTTCAACTTGAAAGTTTCCGTTGAGTAAAGTCCGAAAAAGTTTATTTGTCACTTGCGTTTCAGCACAACTGATGGAACAGGAAAGAATAAGCGGGAATCAGTCTCAAACTACGATCATATATGATTCATGAAATTTTACGTACGTCGCACTTCTTTACATCACACAGAGATTCAAGACGCTGTCAATGTTCCATGGATATATTCACGATTATTCCGGCAAAGATTCTTTTTGTTTCGGCTTTTTGTTCTGTTGTCTTTGTATAATCCATTTGATACACCACTATCAGAGCAATTGACTTTCACTTATCGATTCTCAAACACGTACACCGAAACTGACAATGTTCATCGTGTGCTTTATTGTTTTTGCGTAATTTTTTTTTCGCTTGACCTTAAAACTGGGAATCAATGCGACAACGTCGACGATGAAAACAATAATTAATAGTCTATATAAAATGGGATAGAGGAACAAAAGCAAAACACAAGCACGACTATGCGTCTTTAAAAACAAAATTATACGTATAACAACGCGCCAAAGAAATGTTATGAACTGTCAACAGGACGCCGACTTGAGCCAAAACAAGCTAAAACAAGAAATCACTAAACACATTCCGTACTTAATTGATTGTTTCGTTTTCGCTTCGTAGTTTTTTTATTATGACATTTCTCCTTTGCTGTGTTTCGAAACGTAGTTTGTTTTATTGTATGGTTCGGTCAGTTTGAATCTATGTAACTGTGTACGATGTAAAAACAATGTTTGTGTAATAAACGATCACAGCTGAATGAGACATAAACGCGTTTTGGTACTTTCTTCGGCTGATAAATTCATTCAATAATGATGCGTTGTGTTTACACTTGAAATTTGTGTGTCATCATCGTGTTGTCGTCGTTGAATTTGGTTATTTTCATAGCGCCTTGTTTTTTTCCTCTCTTCTTACGAATCTCGCAGTATGCTTCATAATACGTCTGTTGAATTTGTTTTGATATTTATCGCACTTGTTTTTTTTTATCTGCGTTTAATCCAGACTTAGACGGGTAAAAGTCCCGCTTTTTATTGTTTCTCCGAAAAATGGCGCAATCGATTTCAAATTATGTGGAAGAATACTTCTGCTGATTTTTCATCACCACACTCACAATAAATTCTTAGAATATTTATTTGTCATTCCATAAATTCGGTTCACATGAAATTCGAAATCGTTCTCTTTTTTTGAAGCATTACAGATTTCGTATGCACTCAATTTCATTCAAGTTCTCTTTACAAACTTATCCAGTACTTTGCTAGGTAATCCATTTTGCGATTGATCACTGTAAACATAATTTTGGTAATGTTGTTTGTTGTAAATGTTTTGAGAAGTTTCAGTGAAAAACTGTTCTTTTTTCTGTTACTCTTTGAAATTTTCCAAATTTATACTTGCTTTGCCAATGCAAAAAAAAAAACAATAATAACCAAAATGGGTTTTAGTAGAAACTCACTGTATTCAAGTTGAATTTTTTTAATTCTCAGACAATTTTCCAACGACAGAAAATACATCCGTTCATGCTCAGTTTTAAACACAAACTGTTTTCACCGATTCGATCGTGTACAGATGAATTGATATGAAGTAGAAAAGTATTTCATACACACGAGCAACAGCCGTCTAGCGTGTCTGGTTGATTATATACAATACATAGAAAAATGCGAGTCCAACGGCAACGACAACGACAACGGCAACGGCAACGGCACTGAACGCATACACACAGTTGACGAACGCGCTTTATTCAACCGCATGTCGTTTACTGCCGTCGCAGACACTAAGAATCAAGTTGACACGAATCTTTGGAGCTCCAATGTTCCCATTCAAATCCAACGAATTTTATTGGATTTTTTTCTTCGTTCAAATAACTCATCGATGAGCTTTCATCCAAACGGCCAATATGAAGCGAAATTAATTCGGATGATTCATTGACGTCAAGTTTACGGTTGGTATTTTTAATTTTTATTAGACAGGTATTAATAAATAGAATGAACACATGCAATAGATTTGTATTTTATGAACAATGCATTTTTCAGGGTAGAAAAACCTGGTAAAAGATTGTGCGTCATAACATTAAAACCCAATGCGTTCGTTGATCAGTCGACGAGACACCAAACATTTTGATTGGAACGTAACAAAGTATGAGTACGCACATGAGAATGGAAAAGCAATAACAAAGCACGGCCGATAAACAAACGTATATAATATATGTAGCATACCATCCACATCGGCGACTATATACGTCTACATTTAAGTTACGTTGACTGATACACACAAAATTTTCATTCATCCCGTGTATTATTCAATGTGCGGCTGCTTCATATAGAATTTATGTGAAACGATTTCAGTTTATGCCGTTCGCTTGACGTTTGTAGACAACCGGAGGAAGTCGGTATAACGTAACAAATGGACTATACTGCTAGTGGATTTGATTTCTTTTTTCGTATATTTATATATAATCAATTTTATATATATGTAGATTTCTCTCACTCGCCAATTTTTCTTTCCATTTCTTCACTAGCTATTTCTTGTGAATGCGTTTTCTTTTTTGTCATCGCTTTTCGACCATTCTCTTTCTGGCCATGATCAAAGCCATATCCAAACTTTTTCTATACTTTACCTAGTTTGCCGCGACAAATTTTGATTTCTTGGTGCGCATTTGTTCACTGCCATTTGAAGTACACCTTTGCTTCGTTACCCTGCGCTGCATCTTGCATGCCACTCTTACAGATACAAAGTGGTTATAGTATCTGGCCCATATTTTTACTATCTTGAGATTTTTCCAAATGATTTTGCCAAATTCAGGGTATTTACCAGTCAATAATGCAAATAAAACCATCCGTACCACTCAAGTAAAGCTACAAAATACATTCAATTTGAGATTTGGTGCTTGCTTTTGCATTGGGTTATTCTCAATCGCACAAATGATTTACAGTTCCTCATACATGCAAGAACTCAAACACTCATGAGCCATATATATTATTTTTCTTTGGTTGTGCCATCTGATCGTCAGCCGCATTTCGATATTCCATGTACGAATGTGTGGCACAATGAACCGGCTGACTGAATGATCTCATCCTTGAATAATTTGTTTCTTGGGCGATAATTCCACTTATTTATTGTTTCATCTCTTTTTTTACTCTGAAATTGCAATGAGTGCGGCAAAGCCAAACCGAAATAATCAAAACAGCGTAAAGTATTCGAATTATTTTTTATTGTTTTCAGTTGGACGGCCAGACACATATACAAACATACAAACATAATGTAACAACGTAATGCAAAAATTATAAAACCATTGGGCTCTCTCGCGCCTTTTTTTGTCGGTTTTATTTCCAGTGGATTATTACCGCGTCCCGACTCAAGTGTGCGTGTGTCAAACTGTGCGGTCAAATATTAGACAATGCATTTATTCAATGTCTCATAACAATGATACGAAACGTTTTGGTTTCGCTTTGTAACCAATCCAGAACTACTGACGTTGTTGGTCCCAAATTCCTGGAAATAATTTATTTCCAACTAGCAAATTCGCATTGAATTCGATCACATAATGTATTGTATTCTGTATAAAATGGAATGTAAATATGAAGGCCTCTCGAAAGGTACAGGTAACGACAACCAAGGAATCATTCTTGTCTGTGCTCGCGTGTTTGCTACAAAAAAGATTCATTGAATAATTTAATCATTAAAATGGTATTTTGAGCTTTAACTAGACTTCAAGATTCTGCTTGTTACTCAATCTCACATCACTTTCGACCGAAGACGCGTTTACAGTGTATATTTTTCCTGAATGTTTGACCGTTCCACGTTGATTTATTTTTATCCGAATAAAGAAATCAGTCTGTGTGTACATTCCGCATATTTTCTAATACCGTTGCTTTTATTTCTTCACCTCATTTCTGATTTCATGACGATGCCGATTGTAGAATCGGTTCGGCAAAGAGAAAGTAAGTAAAAATAATGGGAATTAGGAACTATGTGGAATAGAAACAATTGTGAGCCACCAGCATTTTACGATGCTGGTTACGTTTGTTTGTGTGCGTTGTTTTTGACCCACAACTTTAAAGATTGTGAGAATTTTAGGTTATATGTGTGCGCATGCTACTATTCGCATTGTCTGTGAAGCAATATGTTCGCATAGTGCTTTCGATGAGTTGCTGAGCCGTAGAAAATGAAACGGTGAATGGAATATAAGACAGAAGCGCATGGCGATGAGATATTTGTATTTAACCGCTACAAAAACACATTAACCCATTTTGGGTTAGCGTATCGAAAATGCAACGTTTAACATTTTCGCACCTGGGGTGGCTGTTGAGATGTTGTCAGAAAAGAAAATTTAGCTTATCTGATAATCCAATCAACCTGTTTTTGCGTTCGAGCTAATTTTGAAATATAGGGGATCCACCAGTGGTTTCCAGTCTTATAAGTTAAATTTGGATAACTATGAAAAGGCAAGCGGTATTATTGAAGTTAGAGCAAAATTGTAATGGCCATTTTCTTATAACATCGTTCAAAATAAACGTCACACAACTAGGTGATACTGCACAATATGCGGCAGTAGTTCAATGTATGGTGTGCTAGGTGGTGTATATACAATGGTATGAACAAAAAATACACTGTCAACATAGAGCGTGTGCTTGCATTTTGTTTTTTTTCCCTTTCTTTATATCTTCCTTTACGGCTTCTTCATACTTGCTTTTTATGTTGTACTCAAAAAACTAATACCGATGATACAATGCCAATAACGTGATCTTTTTTGCTACAACACGAGTTTCCGACCGACTAAAATCGATCGAAATTCATGTAAAAGGAATGTTTTGAAACGTGATTTATGTTTTTTTTTGAGTAGTTTGGTCTTGTGTTTCTAATTTCATTCGGTATTTATTTTTATCTATTCATTCGCATGTCACATGCAGCATGTGCACAAATATCATAACGATTAACGTCACTCATCGAATGTATTTGCCTAAGCTTACATTTTGATACTATTTGGCTTTATATGTTCTATTCAGGTGTTGAATTCGAATAATTTTGGTCCTTGGCTTAAGTCAACGCACGTAACGGAAAGCGGTCATAGCTGTCAGCTTGCCCTCGAAATACCACCACCGGATGTTGTCAAAAGAGTAAACTTAACGGTACATTCTTTATTCCCATTATACTGCCGCCTTGACAATCATCCAAGACACTTTCCTATGCACGACGTGTTGTTATCATAATATTGGTTTTTAAGTAATGCACATGATTATGCCGATATATTTCTAAAATAAGAGGTAGAAAAAAATTACATCACCATTTTTACCGAGATGATTTTGAATTTCGAATACATTACGTAGAAAATTTCCAATAAAAAGCCATTCTCTTTGCAATTATTTTGAATTAAATTGAGACAAATAACGAAAAGACAAATAGAATTAAAAAAGACAAGCGAAAAAAAGACGACGAGAAAGCCAATGAAATTTTCACAACTGACGATAAAGAATATTGCAGATATAACCATATTACAAGTGGAACACACAAAACACGCATCAATTTATTATCAAAGACGAACACTATTCATATACATGAACGAATAATAGGGCATATGATGAAATTATTCCGATCGGAATCCGTTGAAATCATTCCCAATCAATAGATTAAAAATAAACTTATTGATTATCGCACCAAATATAAGGCAAGAAAAAATCGCACGATTTGAATCTCTTCAGCTGCTCATATATTTTATATTTAAATAGGCGTCTTTCATATCGGTGAGAGTACAATTCAAAACACTGTCAAGTGATCATAAGAGTGCCATTGACATGCAATTTGATACAAAATGAACGGCTGCAAAATTAGTAAAATAGATGAACAAAAAAGCAACAAGCATTTTTCCTTCATTTTAAGTTTGATCCAGATTCTAGATTGCAATCATCCACAATTTTGGTTTCATAGCAAGATCTTATATCTTCTTTGACTATAATCTAGAATAAAAAGCAAAAAAGTTCAATATTTGTAATAAAATACAACACCTACAACACAAAAAAGTGTAAAATCGAAAAATAGAATAACAAAAAACATATTTACAGAAAATAATGAAGTACAAGCGCAAGTCTATGCGAATGTATGGAATTCTTGTATATAACCTGATATATTCATGTAGTATAGTGACAGACGCGAGAGCGCGACGACTCGAAAGGGTCAAGGGGACGTGCAAGTACAATGCACCTTATTTTGAGGCAGACGGAGTGTGCATATACAGTCATGGACTAAATTGAGCGTACGACTGCCAGAAAAATGTATCGCGGACTATTTCATGAACCTAATTTATTTTTTTCAATCAATTCTTTGCACTGTTTGTTGCGTAATTATGTGAACTAATAGTAACCGAGAGAATTTTGAATTTTTTCTTTTGGATTTTGTGATTTTTATTGAAAAATGTAGATGAATGTCATTT